CCCCCTTACCCCATACATATGGGAATTGGGTTTTGTTTTTGTTTGTTGTTTTGGGTGATTCACAAGATATCGAAAGACAAAACGATTGAATTACTTATACAGTTACACGTTCATCAGGACTCAGAATCATGAAATATAAAATCAAACAGGATCAATAATGTATACCAATATGAGTTCAACTTAGCAAAACAACGGAAACGTTACTTGCTAGAAGCCAGTGAGAACCCTCTTAATCTTGAGCATCATCTTGCTGCTACTTTCACGGCAGCGAAAACATCGTGGAAGGGAAGGCATCATCATCCAAGAGAGAATTCAGAAGCTGGAAAGCTTTAACGGGAAGCAAACATTACTTGCTCGAAGCCATTGCAAGGGCGGCTAAGAATAACGGCGGAGGCGGTGGCGTTTCACGACCATTTTTCACATGTATTAAGCTTAATTGACTGTTGAAAGCTTCTTATTAAGGCCCAAATTACGCAAAACATCAAAAGCAGTTGAGTAGAAGAGAAAAGTGAAGAAATTCAAAAAGGGAAAATGCAGCTTTTATGAAGAAATTCAAAAAGAAGAAAAAAAAACACCCAATGAAAAGTAGAGAGAGAAAAAGAAAAGGAAATATACAGATTCAAATAGGGAAAAGAGGACTGTTCAATGTACCTGAGTGTAATAGTGATAAAGAGTATATCAGAAGATGAAGGAGAAGAATAGCGTGGACATAGACATTTGAGCAGAAGCTAAAGAATTACTGTTTACAATACAAAGAAATAGGAGAACAACAAGAAGAAGAAAGAAGAAGAGGTAAAGCATTTAACGAGCCAGTTGTGTTGTTGGTAAAGTTGTTAACGTTGAGAGACTAATTTGTAACTAATCGATAACGTTAGTGATCGATTTATAACTTTTGAAACATCAGTGGGGAAAACAAAATCTACCCCAAACATTAGTGGCCAGCTGTGTAGTTTATCCTTACAACAAAAAGAAGCAAAAATCAACATTAAAAAATCAGGCACTTACTTGAAAATTATAAACTTCTCAAAGTGAGATTTTTTATGATTTTGAATTTGAGAGAAAATTTAGAGTTTGAAGTATGAGATTTGAAGTTTTCGGTTGGATTGCTTTTTCCTTTTGTTTTAAATCCATGTTCTTGACTTCAACCGATTCAAAATATTCTTTTAAATTGATTTTGGATTACTTTTTCTATTGATTTCGTACTGTTCTTTTTTCTTTTTTGATTGAAAGTAATCTTATTTTTGCTGAGGATATATATATTTGTCCTGTTTAAGTGTTTGATTTATATCCATATTTTTTTTAATGTTGCTGACTAGTAGTAACAGGATATAACGAGAATAACTGCTGTTATTGCTGTGATCTACCATTATCCATTATATTGTGGTCATGATCGACTGTTATTGTAGATCTATTTCACACCGTTTTGACAATAACGATGTCAGTCATTGTCGAAACCATGATATAACGGTTGTTATTCTACGACGAGTCTGCTATTTGAATCCCTGGTACCTATTTAAATCTCTCAGCCATAGCTAACCGCGTTGATCTAGGAGTTTATGATACCATGTTTTGGAACCGAGAAGCTGAATGTCACCTTTTTGCCATCCCCAAACTCTTTCGTTTTTGTAAACGGTATTGAACTTGTTTCCATGCCGAACAACATGTATATAAACCACCGAGGAAACTCTCTAAATCTTGTAGGTACTACAGCTCTCTTTGACATTCCTAATGCCAACAGAGATGGAGTCAGGATTCTAGTTCAGGGGACAAATTATAATTAGTAATAAAATTAGAAGGATCAAATAAAAATAAATCAAAATTTAAATATCTAAATATTTATTTATCGATATATATTTTTAATAATAAAAAAATTTGGGGGGAGAGGCAGTGGCCCCTGTAACTATACATTACTCCGTCACTGCATACTACTACTTTTGAAACTGTTTATTGTCTAAATGTTGGTGAAGCAACAGTGGCTAACGTGAATGATACTAGAATGTTTCGAACATGGTCCGACGATTTGCCTTATATCTTCGGAGCTACAGTCGGAACTACTCCTAGTCGATCTAATAACATCACGATGAAATACACCGAAGACACCCCAAGTTATACTGCTTCCGCTAGTGTTTACCCGAAGTCAAGAACTTTGGGCGATGATCCAATGATCAATATGAAGTACAATCTCACATGGAACTTTCCAACTGAAACTGGCTTCATCTACCTGCTTAGGCTCCATTTCTATGAGACTCACGTAGAAGTATCGGAGGAAGGTCAATGCGTCTTTGGCATATTCATCAACAACGACACTGCTGAGTATGTTGCCGATATGTATTGGAGTGGAAATAATGACATTCTGGTGTATAGAAACTACGTTTTGCTGATTCCAAGTGAAGCTCAAAGTAAGCAAATTTTATGGCTAGCTTTACATCCTAGCGGCGTCGGTTCAGAGTTTGCTAATGCAATCTTAAATGGTTTAGAGATTTTTCGACTCAAAAAAACAGACGATAGTCTTGCAGTGTCGATTCCAAAAGCTCGTTTGAGTCTTATACAACCAAAGAAGAGTAAAAAGATTTTGCCGCACATGAAAATCATTATTTGAGTTGCCTTGGGCTGCACGACAATATTGTCACTTTCCCTTACATTTCCTTTTTTTTTTGGAGAAAGGAAACCTTTCTTTTTTCAAAAGCAAAGCTTTACCAGACCAAAGCTTTACCATGGAAAAAAGAAAAACATCACCATTGCCAGACCGATTATGCCAGTGCTTTACATTGGCAGAAATCCAAGCAGCAACCGACAACTTCAATAATGCTTTTGTCATAGGGCGCGGTGGATTTGGTAATGTCTACAAGGGCTTCATCAAGGGAATAGAATGTGAAGTGCCATCAAGTGATTAAACTCCATGTCCCTGCTAGGAGGACATGACTTTTGGACAGAAATCCAACTGCTATCTAAACTTCGACCCATTCATCTCATGTCTCTGATCGGCTACTGTAATGGTCACAACGAGATGATTCTTTTCTATGAATATATGGCCAATGGAACTCTCTAATCACCTCTATAAAAGTGAAAAACACTGTGTCTTGGAAATGGATATTGGAAATTTGTATTGGTGCAGCCCATGGATTACATTACCTTCACTCAGGAGCAGTTGGTAGACTCATTCATTAGGATGTTATGAGCACCAATATTTTGTTGGATGAGAAATATGTGGCTAAGATATCTGATTTTGGCTTGTCTAAAATGGGTCCAATTAGCAAGACACATGTTCCACTTACAACAGTGGTAAAAGGAACTTTTGGGTACATGGATCCTGAATATTACAGGCGCCAACAATTAACTGAGAAATCAGATGTCTACTCATTTGGAGTGGTGCTATTTGAAGTGCTGTTCAGTCGACCGACAGTGAATTCAAATAGAATATTCGTAGATCAGTTTAGCCCACAGGAGTCGAAAGTGCATGGAGCGTAAGAGTATTGGTGAAACCATCGAGCCCTTCTTGAAAGGTATGTTTCACCAAAGTGTCTAACAACATTCGTCAAAATAACGAAAATTATATCCGTGAAGATGGACGCGAAAGTTCGTCGATGAATGATGTAACCCAAAGACTTGAATTCACTCTAGAACTACAAGAAATTTAGGATGCTGATGCTATAAATGGAGCTGAGTCCCAAGTCATTCAAGATATCGAGCTTTAAGCAATTTATGTAAGTTTTGAATGATATATGCGATCCCAATAATTAAGAAACAAAACTTATACAAATTGCTTAAACGATATCTTGATTGACTTAGCACTGAGTATCACTAGCTTCAAATATTTGTTCTGAATCTTCAATTTCTTGTAGTTGCAGAAGGATTTCAAGATTTTGGGCTATGTCATTCATCAGGGGACTTTTGCATCCATTTACATTAATTTCTTATTAATTTGTTATCACTACAATACTCGATGAATATGTTCTAGCAGATAAAATAGTTTGGATTGATGCCCAAAACGTTCTCCTTGTTGGGACATGGAGTTTAATCGCTTTAGTGTCACCTCAAATTTTGTCCCCATGATGAAGCCCTTGTAGAAATTACCAAATACACCATGAATCGTCCGATTTCTTATGAAGTAAAACTCTTGCATAGTTGGTCTGTCAATGGTAAAGCTTTTCTTCTTTCCATTGACTTTCAATTATAAAAAGAAAGACATTTATTCCACCAAAAAAAATCAAGGAAAATATCAGGAAAATTGATACTGTTGTCATGTAGCACAAGGCAGCTCCAATGATGCTCTTAGGAGGCAACGAACTCTTTTTGTGCTTCTTTTCGCTTCTTCAGAGGTATAAGACTTTAATCCGGTAGCAGACCTGGTACTGCAAGACTGTCGTCTGATTTGTTGAATCTAAAATTCCCTAAACTGTTTAGTTATGCATCACCGTACTTAGAGTTCGAACCAAAACGTTTGATAGGCCGTAAGTGTCACGGACCCGAGCTCAAGGTTGAGACCAATGCACACCAAGCTACCCAAGACACCCTTTGTTGGATTTTGGATTTATCCAACCTATTTGATATGGCCCTTCCTTTAGAGAATGTTGAAGAGCTCATTCACGTTGATTATTGTTAGAGTTTGACTCGAATTCAAAGTGAAACAAATTAATTAATATATACATATTGGGAAAGTAGAAACTCGGTTTGATTAAAAGTAGAAAACTTTATTAAATTAGATTTCTACTTTATTTAGTTTTCATTTGTAATCAAGTATCTATCCTTATAAATATATACTAATGGTCAGAGATAGAAATCAAGTTTTTTCTTTCGCCAAAATCCTCTTGCATTTTCTTGCTTCATACTAGTGAAATTCTTCTCCTCTGCCCGTGGTTTTTCCCTTTTGGGTTTTCTGTGTAAATCCTGGTGGTTATTTGTTTTTCCTTTTCGATCGTGTTTATTTGTTTGTCGATAATCATCGTTCCGATATTATAACAAATTGGTATAAGAGATTTGGGTTCAACATTATGGCAACAATGAAGTATGATATTCCGTTGTTGGATCGAAACACCAGGTTCTCGCTATGGAAGGTGAAGATTCGAGATGTTCTTGCACAGTTAGATCTCGACGATGCAATAGAAGGATTTGATGAGAAGCCGGTAACACAATGGACGAATGAGGAAAATTATAAGGATCGTAAAGCTCTTTCTCAGGTTCGTTTACACTTATCAAATCAAATTTTATAGGATATGCCGAAAGAAAAGACAACTTCGTGGTCGAAATTTGAGCAACTTTGCATGCAGAAATCATTGACCAGCAAGTTGCACCTAAAGCAACGTCTTTATTCGCTCAAGTTGGCAAAAGGTTTGTATCTTGAAGAGCAGCTAACCGCATTCAAGGAAACAATATCTAATATGGAGACTTTAGAAGTGAAGTATAATCAAGAAGACTTAGGAATGATCTTCTTATGTTCGCTGCCTCCTTCCTACTCATCTTTCAAAGTTACAATCTTGTACAGTCATGAAACACTCACTCTTGAAGAAGTTTACAATGGCTTGCACTCGTTTGACAAGATGAAACATCTTGTATCTAGTTCCAAGCCCCAGGAAGATTGTCTTGTGATGCATGAATCGACTAGCTCAGACAATGGGAGAAAAGACGAGCGTTCTTCTAATAATATTGGAAGAGTTAGATCAAAATCTTCCAACCAAGGTAAAACTTGTCACTATTTTAAAAAGAAAAGCCATGTTAAATCGAACTGTTACAAGTTGTAAAATAAAATCAAAAGAGAAGTTGCAGAGAAGAACTCTGGGAAATCTGGTGAGGATGGTATAGTAGAGGAGTACGATGACGGAGAACTCCTAGTTGCGACTAACTATAACTTTATACCAAGTGATGAGTGGATACTTACTCTGATAGTAGTTTTCATATGAGTCCTAATCATGACTGGTTTGCGACGTATGAAGTTGTATCTACAGGTGATGTATTTTTGGGAAATAATGTCCCTTGTAAAGTCGCAGGTATTGGCACAATCAAGATTAAGATGTTCAATGGGATTGTTCAAACACTTGTTTGTGAGACATGTTCAGATTTTAGTAGAAATCTAATTCTTTAGGTACTCGATTCAAAAGGGTACAAAATCCAGGGAAAGTGTAGCTATGAAAATTTGCAAGGACACTCTTGTTGTGTTGAAAGGCAGAGAAAGACTACCAAGTTTTATGTTCTAGGGTTCAACAGTTTTAGATAATGTAGTTGGTGTTTCATCCACATGTCAAATAACGTTGTTAAACAAAATAATCGTGGGCATAACGATTATGTGAAGCAGAAAGAGTTCAATTTCGTGAACGTAATGAATTTAAAGAAAGAAGTATCATTGATGATCGAGATCGTGATGTGCAGATATTGCTCGTGGTAAAATATTTGTGAGCAAAGTTGACACTTATGATAACCATGTCGATGTGAAGACTAATTTCAAGCCTAGAAAAATCTTGGATTCGGTCGGCGTCCATTACTGAAGATTACCCCTTTGAGGGGTGTTGTGGAAGAGGTGGAGAACTTGTACGTTGAAGTGAATAATTTTTTTGTTGAGTTGAGTGTCACATCGAATTTAGATGTTTTGTCTCGAAACCTTTGCACTTTCAGAATTCGTGTCAAGGTAGAGATTTGTTATAGTTTGACTCAAATTCAAAGTGTCACAAATAATTATATAAATATTGGGAAATTAGGAAACCCAGTTTGAT